GGGTGAGATGCGTGGCCGCTGTGTGCCGAGGCCATTCCAGCCCGGCTCCGTCGAGGCACAGAGGCTGCCGGCAGAAGAAGGGAAGGGTTTAGCGGGGGCTCCGCGACCGCCATCCCGCCTCCCTACGTGGTCTGCCCCTGGAGAGGAGAGACGTCGTGCCGGGGGCCTTGTCCCGCTGGGCCGCTCGTTTGCGAAATGGAGGCACTTCTCGTCTCGGAATGGGGAAATGTGTTGTGTTCGATGAGGCTATGTGTTCTCCTTTGACCTCTTCTAAAGTGTAGTTAGGAGCGAGGGAGGTGAAGGGACCGAGAGGTCCCATCTTCTTTAATATTGGAGGACTTCTCACCGTTGGTGTCTGGGTCTTTTAGGTGGCCCTAGTTACTTTTGTGAGTCGTCCAGTTTGTACAAACTTGACGGGAGGAGAAATGTCTCTTCAAAGATGACTTGAAATGGCACTTCCAGACAGGAAGATTATTAACAGAAAAATCTTAGTTCTGAAAACTTTGAAGGTCTATTGTGAGGTTAGTCTTGACACACTTGGAAACAGCTGGGAAGTCTGTGGAGAGTTGGAATTCCTTTTCCATCGTCTTGAATGTGCCTTTTATTCTCTGGGGAAACGTGGAATTCTTTTTTTTTTTCTGTGGACGCTGCAATTAGGAAGCGGTGGTCTGCTGTTTTTTTCTGTGTGTTTTTCCAAAATACAGATGTGTTGCGATGGGAAGTTGTACAAGCACGCCTACTTTCTGTTGCTTCCAAAAGGTTTCAGACTGGGAATGTTTTGGTTCCCTAATATCATCAAAAGGAGTTTTCCAGCTCTGGGTCATGCCTAATTTTTCTTGTCAGGTGCAGATTTTATATTACCTCTTTATAGTTTTGCTGACCTTTCTGTTAAATATAGTGTCAATATTAAGTCATGCCTACCAAATGTCTTTTGCTCGCAATATGAGTTTTTACTGACAGCTGGAAGGGGTAACATCATGCAGAAATCATAAGCAGGAAGCTAGATATCTAATGTAAATGTATATTACTCACTGCTTCACTTTAGGGTCAGTCACTTAGACTTGAGAAAACAGGAAACTACTGTCAATTCAGTATATGATATTGTTAGTTTCACTCTTCTGAATGGTGTTTAATCAGTATCCAATTTAAAAGTTGAGTAAGCTGGTTGAATTAACTTTTTGAGTTGGAGGAGTGTAAACTTTTTTGTGTTTCATTACTAATGTAAAAAATTTCAGAATTTCTATTTCCCTTTTGAAGTGAAAGCAGCAATCACTAACTTTAGGGGTTTGTCAGTTCCAGCTGGAATGTCCAGTTGATATTGTGGTCTTGCATCCTGTCACAAACTTCTGCATAACATTGTTGCTTAGCATTTTAGAACTGCCTTGCTGTGTCCCAGAAGTTGGGGAATTTCAAGAACTGGCAGAATAATTGATGTAATTCATATTTAATTTATGGGATGGGGAGGCAGGTAGTATTTTTCAAGTGATTACTCACTGGAAGGCTGCTGAAAGAAAAGCACTCCTGTTGTTGTACACTGCCTGGGAAGAAGTAATTCTTAAAATTCAAAGGTAATCTGATGTGATTTACGTAGAAGAAAATCCACATATTAATTTTTGTGTCTGCTTCTCTTTCAGATTGAAGCAAGCGAATGCTGATATAACTCAACTTTGTTAGAGGGCTTTTTTTAAAAAAAAAGTTGATCCACAGTGCATCAGAGCAAGTTACTACTTTACTTCTGAGTGACTTACAGGTGCTTGCCTGCATTGCAATAAAGGACTCATATATTGAGCAAGACTTATTTATCTCTTCGTTTTGGAGAGTCTAATAAACTGTTATTACAGTTTCTGTACTGACTTTCAAAGTTTTGAAGTCTAAAAAGACATCTTTAAAAATAAAACCATGAGCACGGCCAGAACAGAGAACCCTGTTATAATGGGTCTATCCAGTCAGAATGGGCAGTTGAGAGGCCCTGTAAAACCCAGTGGGGGCCCAGGAGGTGGAGGCACACAAACTCAGCAACAGATGAACCAGCTGAAAAATGCCAACACAATCAATAACGGCACTCAACAGCAAGCACAGAGTATGACCACCGCTATTAAGTAAGTGTTTGTATCAGCTGCCACGAAAGCAATGTTTAAAAGTCACATATGGCAAAGTGTTCTAGGGTTCCCATGTCTAAGAAGTTTTCTTGTTTGATGGCATTGGTGGTTACAAGTTTTCTATGATATGCATTATGAAAAAAAAGCTGTATTTCCATATGCGAGTTTCCCTCTGTCAAGTGATCTTTGCAGTGTGTTTGTTGTGAAGACCAAATAAGATGCTTTGCTTTTCAGGACGTGTAGCTGCTTATCAGAGGTAGCCCACTGAGCAGCAACTGCAGTGTTCTGTTTTCTGTGCTCACTGCGAGCGGTATGAGCAGGAAGTTGGGGGGTGGGAAGGAACTGAAATGAGACTTAAGACAGAGGAGGAAACACCAGTCCAGTTGTGTATGCTTTTCAGTTCTTTGCAGTTCTGTCTTATGGTGAGAAATTTATTACCGTCGATTATCTTTTGTCATTGATCTTAAACGGTAGTGCTCGCTTTCCTTGGTATAGCACTCTGGTGTTAATTAATCAAAGCCTGAGCTGAGGTAATATAGTGCCACTGTGATACCCTCGTACCATCAAACTGGTTTTGGAAGTGTACTAATAAAACATGAGCGTGCTGGTTGGAAATGTTGAAAGATGTAAAAGACTTGGATGGTATGGTAACGTGTTCCTTTCTCTGTTTTTCCCTGTGATTCCTCCTGCCCCTGATCAACATTAACTTTTAGTTCATTACTAGATTATTTACAAAGGAAATGCCAGCTGTCGTCAGAGTGTACGTAATGGAATACTCAGGTGCTTAAAATTTGCTTAAATAATCCCTCCCCCCTTCTTTTTTTTCCAAATGGGTCACTCTGAAGAAACTGATGAGTTAAACTTACCAAATTTCATGGTGACTTCTAGAAATGAGGAAGAAAAGGATTTACTGTCCTCTGCATGGGGACTTTAGAGAGGGGATGGGTGTTTAAATCTCATTGAGAACAAAAGGTAACATTTGATCAACAAGTGGAGCATGTGCTTACTTCATTTTCTCCTGAAAGTGTTTGTTATCACTCACATTACTCATGGATTAAGAATGGATGTTCTATGGGCAAGAACATTTTTTAAGTGATGAAGTATTCTCCTGTGGATTTATTATAGCCAGTTTCTGTCATATGACTAAGTCAGTGCTCTGTTTAAAATCTGTGTTGTACTGGATTGATTCAGAGCCCTAAAAATGGGACTTGAATCATGACTAGATAAAGATTTCCTGAATTCTCTATGTGCTTGGCAGACTACTGATTTTGTGCGTTTACAGTTTCCTGCCTGTTGCATCCTGCTTAGCTCAGAGAAGTCTTGAACTTGTCTGTGTAGGCGCTTTTAGCTTTCAGGGGGTGAAAATGTTACATGTTCATCACTGTATCTAAGAAAATAAAAATATAATTAAATAAATTAGCCAGCTAAAGATATTTTATTAATTTATTTTTAATTTTTTAAAATTTTATTTTTACTGCAGACCTGGTGATGACTGGAAGAAGACTTTAAAACTCCCTCCAAAGGATCTGAGAATCAAAACTTCGGTAAGGTGGTTGAATTGTTGGAATAAATATTAAGTAAATGACATGGGAGAAGCTGCACTGGCAGAATGTTTATACTGAAAAAAGATTCAAAAGCATTTCAGCTCTTGCTGTTTTAAATGAAGAATTAATTTTGTTATACAACTACATGGGAGAAATGCTTCTCTTGGAAAGCTCAAAACCAGAATTTACTGTGGATTTCTTACCTTACTAATGTTACAGTGTGATACTGATTGTCAGTGTCTTGCAAGGCAGATTGGAAGTCTGCATATGTTCACTGTGTACATTCCCTGTGTTGTGTTACAAGAGAGCCGGTGTTTCCTTCTCCACTCTGTGGTACTGCACGGAGTGGTGGGAATTCCTGCATAGTAGTGGAATGTGCTTTGTGGTCTTCATGCATCAGCAATCTGTCATTGAGTCAGACCAACCTACAGCTGTGGGTTGTATGACATCATCTTATGGATGTACTTTTTTTTTTTATTACTCAGGACGTGACCTCCACAAAAGGAAACGAGTTTGAGGATTACTGTTTGAAACGGGAGTTGCTGATGGGAATTTTTGAAATGGGCTGGGAAAAACCATCCCCTATTCAGGTTGTTTACAAACAGCATTTCATTTTTATAAATTTATTGAAATTCATGCTTAAATATTAGATCCTCATGTCATGACTTGGGAAAACTGGCATTGTGAATGGTAGAACATGGTGGCCCTTTGGGGAGGGCGAGATTTTGTGACATGTAAGTCAAGCAGTGGATGTCTTAGAGAGGGGACTGACTGACACTGTCACAAGAGCATGTAGGTTTGACTTACACAGGATGAGGTGGTCCTCATGTTAAGATACACGTAAGTAACTTTTTCCATAGGAGGAGTTTGCTAGTGACTGTCATTGTCTCTTCATTTTTTTTTCCTAATCTCTAACTTTTTTTTTTCTTTCTAATTGTCAGTATGTGTTTACCATTTCTGTGGTACCTGTTCCCTGGTTCCCTTATGACCAGGCAAGATAAGGACTTATGGGGTGGGTTATAGGGAGCAAAGCTGTTGCTTTGTTGAGGAACTCTGTATTGATAGGTTTAACTGCTTCCTGTTGTGAGTCTGTAGTGCTTGCAGTTGCTGGATATTCTGCTCATGGAACAGTGGGATTTCACGTGATACTGTTACTGTTGTATTTGGCCAGGCTCTTTGGGGAGCACGGCTTATGATTGCACATGTACTGTCTGTCATTGTATTTCAGGAGGAGAGCATCCCCATTGCTTTATCTGGTAGGGATATCTTGGCTAGAGCGAAAAATGGAACAGGCAAGAGTGGAGCCTACCTCATTCCTTTACTTGAACGGCTAGACTTAAAGAAGGACAATATACAAGGTCAGTTAAGATGGATTTCACACCTGCAGTCAAGTAATTGTATCAGTTGTTACATAGCAGCCTTGGATCTAAAACTGATCAATGAAATCGTTCCAGGTTATCTTGTTGTACTTCCAAAGAAAGTTAATGGGCAGTGGTGAAGGGGAGGTGAAAATTTGAAAGTTCCACAGTTAGAAAGTGGCTTTAGAGTACTAAGCAAGCATGCTGGCTGGGGGACTGTGTGGGGGGAACACTGAGGGATGGAGAACCCTAGTGCAGAATTTGTCTTTTCATAAGCAGTTTCTGCATCTTGTTTACGATATCCATAGTGGAATTCCAAAACCAGTATAGCTTTCATTAAGCCTCTTGTCTCCACTGAGGATTAGTATTTAAGATATGATTTGTTACTAGTAACTCACATTGATGCTTTTTGCTTTCAGCAATGGTGATTGTTCCCACACGTGAACTAGCCCTGCAGGTCAGTCAAATCTGTATCCAAGTCAGCAAACACATGGGAGGTGCCAAAGTGATGGCAACAACAGGAGGAACCAATTTGCGAGATGACATAATGAGACTTGATGATACAGGTCAGAGCACTTTTGCTACACTACAGTTGCTGTTTGTTTGTGGCTTTCACAGTGTGGCAGTGGAATTTCTTCTTGTTGTTATTGACTGAGATGTGTCCTATGTGCTGTTGTATTCAGTCATTATTTGCTCAAACTGTATGAAACGTAGCCATGAATGCTGGAAACATTGTTTTAATTGCCTTAACCATTTGTTTTTTTCTCTTCTAACCTTACAGTGCATGTAGTGATAGCTACACCTGGGAGAATTCTCGATCTTATCAAGAAGGGAGTAGCAAAAGTTGAGCATGTCCAGATGATAGTATTGGATGAGGCAAGTTGCTCCTGTTAAACATTTTGGGATTTTAACACCAAGTTAAAGCAGTGCTGTATCTTCCAGAGTCTCCTTGTTATGCACAGCACTAAATCAAACTTGGCTTAGACACTGTGAGGTTATAACTCAACCATTTCTCAGTATTTTTGAAAAGGTGTTTTGGCAGAATAATTTTTCTGCATGTGAATCTTTTAAGAAAACAACCTAGGAAGATTTGGCTTTCATGTTGCCTTTGCTATTTCTGAAGATTAACAGTCTATACTGAAATGAAGAAAAGCACTTAATTTGATTTCAGTTTCTAATGAGTGAGCTGTGCGTACCATGTAATTGTACTTAAAACTGATTATGAACACCCAGTAGTGTGCAGGTTTCTGAGCATGTGGTAGAGAAAAGAGTTGTGTGAAAGCTCTTGAATGAATCTGATAGGAACCTCATAGGAGCCCTGATAACGGTTTTCAGTTGAGATTCCATTTATTCTTCCTGAATTTGATTCTGTTTAAATCAAAAGTTCTAAAACCAAGGAGGTGGTAAACTTCCTTTTATTGATAAATCTTGTCTCCAGTGGCTAAATTGCACATCTTTTGGAGTGTGGTCTGTGCTTCAAAGGGTATGGTCCCATCATAAGGTCAGGAATGAGTGCTCCAGGTGTTCGGGTTTTTTTAGTTTTTTTTTCCTCTCAATGTGGTACTACCAGAAGACTGCAATCTTGTACCATTAATTTAACTTATTGTTAATTGCTTCTGTTGTTACAGGCAGATAAGTTGCTGTCTCAAGATTTCGTTCAAATAATGGAAGACATTATTCTCACGCTACCTAAAAACAGACAGATTTTGCTCTACTCAGCCACTTTTCCTTTGAGCGTACAGAAATTCATGGTGAGTGCAGATGTATTAATATGCATACAGTGGTGACATTGCATGTAAATTGTGTGAGTGAGCAGTGTCTAGCTGTTAGTGTGTCCAGTGTTAGTGTGTTTAATGTGTCCAAACTTAATTTGTCTAATCTAAATCAGTCAAAATCTAGGACAGAAGTTAGAAGATAATTTTTGGCACACAATAGCATTACTGGGAAAGCTGAGTAGGCACAGTTCTTGCCTATAAGGTGCTGTTTTCTACTTTGTACATTAGTTACGTGCCATCTGCCCTGATTTTATTCCAGAGGGTGCTCCTGTTTGGCCTGCTTAGTTGCACTGAATTTATAAGTAATCTTTCGTAAAATTTTGCCCACCCTTTCTTTCTTGTGTGTATCTTGAAGAGTGAGTGGCTAGGTAGTGCATCTTGCCATGGAGAACATTCAGTGTACCAGAGGGTGGAAAGTAGTTATGTTGTTTTGCATGTAGATAAGCCTGCTTTATCCTTATCTTTATTTTTCAGAATTCCCATTTGCAGAAACCCTACGAGATTAATCTGATGGAGGAGCTGACCTTGAAGGGAGTTACTCAGTACTATGCCTATGTAACCGAGCGTCAGAAAGTACACTGCCTCAATACACTCTTTTCCAGGGTAAGCAGCGGGGCTGGGTCAAGAAGATACAGAAGCTTTTTTCCTTGCAGAACCAAGTGTAAGACTGAGGGTGACAAATACAGCTTAATGACACTTTTTTCCTGTCAAAAGGTGCTATTTAGCTGAAGCTAAAGATGTCTGCTTCTTGTCCTGCACCTTTGAATTATAGAACTTCGCTATTTTTTTTCTCCTCTTCTACAAAAATGTATGCTATGTAAATTACTAGCAGCATACCTGCTTTGCTTTCTTTCTGTAAGAGATTTAGACTTAAGTCTTGGATCATTTGTTACTAAAATGCTGCATTTACTGAGCATGGTACTTATATGTTCAGCTCCAGATTAACCAGTCGATAATTTTCTGCAACTCCTCTCAACGGGTTGAATTGCTCGCCAAAAAGATCTCCCAGCTGGGCTATTCCTGCTTCTATATCCATGCTAAAATGAGGCAGGTGAGTATGTAGTCTATGGCAGTTTATTCTAGACCACCTTAAGCTTTATTGCACAACTTAAGTCTTGTGCTTGCTTTAAATTTGCATGTTCTTAGAAAACTGAAACATGTATTGCTTTGTTATCAATTTGGTTTTAGACTTAAGCCCCTCCATCCCCTGCCTTCTTCCCAGACTATTCATTGTAGCTGGTCAGTTGGTATATAAGAGTACTTCCTTGAAGGAGGTCTTGAGTGTTATATGCTTTGATCAGTCAGTAGATCATCCTTGTGACAAAGTGCAGGTATGTCTGTCTGGAACCCTTAAATCCCACCATGAATTCCAGTCCCTAGCAGTGATAACTACTTAATCTTTGTGTGCTCCAAAGTGACTTGTTTGAGAGAGGAGAGTCTTCACAGACAATTGACTTGTCCCACCCCTCGTTCTGATTCAGTTGTGAAAAATAACCTATCCTGGAAAACGAATTCACTGCAAACTTCAGTTTTTAAGGGAGTGAATAAAACATGCACTGAATTTGACAGAGGGCTTATATAGTATGGTACAGTAAAAGTATCAGTTTGACTTCTGTGATGTGTGTTTTATGTAATTTTAACTCAAGATACTCATTCTGAGATGGCTTTGATGCAACCGGAGGAGGCTTTAAAACACAATCAGTTAAGGGCCTCTCTGGTAAATTCTTTAGAATATATGGGTAAAAAATACTAAAAAAATATATAGCAGCTTTGTTAGACTTGGTTGTTCTTGAATGATGAGGGGGAGGAATTAATGTGATTGCAGTTTCAGTGTTTGTTTATTTTTTTTTCCCCAGGAGCACCGCAATCGTGTGTTTCACGATTTCCGAAATGGCTTATGCCGCAATCTTGTTTGCACTGGTAAGGGTTCCTAAACATTTTCCTTTTTCTAAAGGTTGTGATGGACAGCAAATTAGCCCACATATGATAGATCACTTGATTTGTAATAGAACAGTACAGTATGTTCTGATAAAATGTTACTTCAAGCCTTCATGTAGCAGGATGCAGCAGTCTTTTAGGCAAGTAGATTTTTGTCTTTTGTGACAAACAGTGAAGGTGCAAATTCCTAACAAACCATTTCATTGTGAAAGTATTTTCTGCACTGGTTATATTTGCTGTATATTTTCAAACGTGAATAGTCTCTTGAGTTGTTGCGCCTTAGCTTCATTAAATATCAGTAGAACTGTGGCTAGGATCACCAGAGTAAGTTTTGCCAATTCTTTCAATATTTATAGCTCATATTTTCTAGATTTTTTATAGTTTTGAAAGGCCTTTGTATGATCGGATTTCTTCATTGTACACCTGCTTGGCCAGTACTGTTGGCAGTGTCTGCTGATTACAGCGTGTCTGGGTCATCCGAGCGCAAAGCGGTGGAATAAAAACAGTTGTGCTAGTGTAATGTAGTTCAGATTTCAAGTCTGTTGTGACTCTGGCAATGCACAGTTGTGTGTGAGAAGATTCTTGTAGAAGACAATCTGCTCAGAAACAGTCTAAAGTGGAAAAAAACAGCTTTGAGCTAGCTACTTTTTTTTTGGCATAGATGTGTGGATCTGGTGTTTCGGTCTTTCTTATTGTATTACTTGTATTTAGAATGGGTAAAGAGCAAGAAGAAGCTGGAACAGAATTGTATGTAAACTGTCTTTGATAGAAGCGAAGCTTATATCAGAAAACTAGTGCAAACCAATGTTAATAATTGATAGTATTTCCACCCTAAATACTGTTGGCCTTTGATCTCATTGAAGTTAAATTTCTTTGTGACTTGTATTGTCTTTCAGATCTATTTACCCGAGGTATTGATATCCAAGCTGTGAATGTGGTGATAAACTTTGATTTCCCAAAGCTGGCAGAGACTTATCTCCATCGTATTGGCAGATCAGGTGAGAGGAAGAGCATCTTTTAGGTACAGCTTTGCTGATGACTATGATGTTTCTTAGGTTTGAATTGCCTTCTGGTTTTTATTTCCATATCTGAGAATTATTTTAGGTAGCTTTGATTTTTCTGGCAAATTTATTTTTGGGTATCATCTCAGATGGTTATTCTCACAAATATCTCAATGAAGGGCTGTTCTGAAACTGACCTGAACAACTTAATGAAAGCAAAACCAACCCAGCATAATTTGCATTAATCTCAGGAGACTTACTGATGCTGCTTTTTGCAGTTTGGGAAAATGTTATACTGAAAGCTTAATTCTGTGGTGTCTTAAGCATAGCTTCTGTGTGTGCTCCAAGGTATGTTCTAATCTATGTACATCAGCAAAATACACCCCTAAGAAAGGTGGAGGGTGTTTTGAATCTCCTGGGTTGCCTTACTCATCTACCAGTACAAAACTCCATCCCAAAAACTGATGTAAATGTTGTAGAGACCTGTGGCAAGATCTGGATTTGCCTTTATCATCAGAGAGTAACGTCAGTAATTCCACAATCTGCGGACTTTCTCAGTCAGCCTTCTGTGGCTCATCTCAGTCTTTTTATTTATTTCTGTATTTTTTGTCAAGGTCGCTTTGGTCATCTTGGCCTGGCCATCAACTTGATCACTTACGACGATCGATTCAACCTGAAAAGTATTGAGGAGCAATTGGGAACTGAAATTAAACCCATACCAAGCAACATTGACAAGAGCCTGTATGTGGCAGAATACCACAGCGAACCTGTAGAAGATGAGAAACAGTAAACGTGAGTATGTAAATACCTTCCTGAATGGAGTTGTGTTTGATAAAAGAGCTGGTGTGTGAATGTTCCTGTGGAGAAGAGGGAAACTGATGTACTGAAAAGGCTCTGAATTTGAAAAAAGGGTTTGAAGTAGACTGTCAGTGAAAGGAATTCTGTGGGTATGCTGATGCTGGGAGGGGCGGATGAGTGATTTTTAGTTGTTCTAATTGGCATGCTGACCATATGCTAAGGAGACCAGGAATGGGGGGCAATGGGGAACCCAGTAATGGTGTTTGGAAAGGCCAGGGTGGCTACTGGTAGCCTGAGGAATTATTTCTGTATTGCTTAGCTTAAATGAGGAATTGGTAAGGGGCAGGGAAGGAACGTGGATCTCCAAAAGGTGAGGAGAGAAAATGGATAGCTTTGAGAATAGAGCACCGACAGAAGAGCCTGAGCACCTCACCAGTTAGAAGGAACAGGTTTAAGCTAAAAGTGCTGCGTCTTCTGCATTCTTTCGTTCAGAGAACCCTTGAAAGTAAACCAAGTAGCTAGGCTGTAATTCGTCTTTCTGCCACTTGAGGTCGCTTGCGTAGCTTTAGAAGAGGTTTCACTGTCGGAGACTCCGAAGTGTACCTTTTCTGATGATTCTTTGAGGAAAAACTGCTGAGTCGAGTCCTTTTGTGAGAAGAAAACTTGCCCTGGATTGCAGTCAAGCACAACAGCTACAGGATGAGTTTTTTTCTGTTTTTAGTTAAGATGCTGTATTGTGCAAGATAACCAGTGAAGCTGATGAGATCCTTCTCAGCTGACAAAAAAAAAAAAAAAAGTGGTCATAGAAGCAGGCTGCTGGACAGTGCTAAAATGAACCTATGTCTCTTCTTGGCATGTAAGGACAGCCATAGCCAGTCATACCAAGCTGACTTGTAGTCTCTGCTTTCCTGGCTGGGATTTCTCTGTGTTTAGGAAGGAAATGTTAAAAAGCCCAGGTGGTGAACTAGGAAAAGGCCCTTTGGGTGGCTTCTTAAGGGGAACGTTGTGACCTTGCCCAAAAACTGTTTGCCACTTCTGAAAGGACAAGAAACCAGTAGATAGTCAGGCTCCAGAGATACAGTAGGGTATTGACAGCACCTCTTTCTGCAAAACTGTGGTTGAGGTTGAGCTGTTCCAAATGCTCTTTACTTTTCCAGAGATGTTATGTAGTTAGTGTGATTCATTACTTGCATTCTGGTTTTGCATAGAGTTGACTTAACTATGGATGTTGCAGTTGTTTTGGTTTTTTTTCTTCCAGGCTTTGATTACACATGCCAGAAAGTGAAGCCCTTTGATCTGGATCTGTGACACATCGTTTCTCTGGGGATACCCTTCTCTTTGTGGGTTTTTCTTCGTCTTTTTGTTTTGGAGCTATGAAGACTAAAGAACTTGGCCTTTTTTTCTTTTTAAATTTGGCAGCAAGGAAGAAAGAAGATAAAAGGAGGAATATCTTTTCGTTTTTCCACTTGTTTGCACTGTGTGCTGATTGAACATTAGTTGCACTAACTGCTGGTTTTAAATTTTTTTTTTCTTTGGGTGGGAGGGGCAGCAAGGGAAGAAGAGAAACCCTGAAAAGAGAAGAACCTTGATGAACACGAGCTTGTCTGCTATTTCAAATTCTTCAACTGTCGACTGAGTGCATTTCAACTTCTCCCCGGTTACTCATCTGTTTTTAAGCTAAAGAGCTTGTTACTTATTCGTGCAAAGTGCCTTATGCTATGAGACCATTCAGAATATCACCTTTCCAACACAGCCCAAGGAATCAACAGCTGTTTTTGGTTTCAGGTCAAAGTTCCGCTCTCTTCCCCCTCTTCTCCTCCCTAAGTACTCAAGCCCAGGGCTGGGAGGTGAAATGTATTGGTAATACTACTTTTTTCTTAAACTCTTTTTTTTTTATTATTTTTTTTTTTTTTAAATTGGAGGAGTTGATATGCATCTGCAGTTCACCCACACTGTAAATACCTGTATTTAAAACAAAACCAACTTAAAATCTGGGCTGATTAGATGCAGCAGCATAGTTCCAGAAGGAAGGAGTAGCCTGTCATCTTTTGCAGGAGCCATAACAAAAGCCCTATGCTCTAGCAGAACACTAAAGACTGGTTTCCATAAGAGTCTCCATTAGTAGTTACAGCACTTGATATGTAGACTTGTCTCAGAGCCATGGCCCTCTTTCCTCTGGTGCAGTGTGTCCCATAGAAAATCAGATGTGTATATTGTACAAACTTTGTAAATACGATTTTTTTTCTGTTTGGGTTCATATATAACTCTTTCTTTTGTGATGAAGGTTGCTGGGGTTAAAGGGATTAGACTGATTATGGGAGCAGCTAAAGATGAGAGGGGCTCAGTTTTCTGCAACACTAAACAAATGAGAAGCGCTCTGACCTCCACAAAGAGCAGGCCTCTGCAAGCGTCCCTTGTCAGGGTGGATTTGCTCTGGTGCTAGCAACACTGTCCTGTACTGCTCGTGTGGAGGAGATCGCTTGTGGGGCTGTGAGGCCTCAACATCTGTAGCTCAGCCTGCTGGGAGATGCTCTTAGATTTCCACCCCCTCCCCTCCCCGCCCCGTAAAAACTTCAGGAACTTGACAAGCTCTGAAGGGGGCCATGACCGGTGTTCCACCATGGCGTGAGGGGAACAGCAGGAGTCAGTGTTGCTGAGCAGTATATGCATAAGGTGTGGATTTGGGTTTGAGAGAAACCTTTAGAGAACCAATTTACGTGCATAAACTGACAGTTCTGGAGCTTTATGGGATTGCTTTACTTCCTGCAGCATTGTGCATTTTCTGCCCAGAGTGGCCACTATACAGACTTGTGAGCAGGTAGGGGCAAACCCCTGTTAATGTCTGAAGCTGCAGAAAGCTGCTTGCCATCTCCTCTGTTTTGGCATGAATTGCTGTCTGTCATTTTTGCATTGTATATTGCTGAAAAGTGCTTTCTGGTCAAGTAGTGTTGCTTTAAATTGTGCCCCTCCCAACATGCTTGATGTTTGGCCTGATCTACAGGCGAAAGGAGTGAGACAAATCAGAAAACGTTCTCTTTTTAAATTCCCTTTTAGCCTGTTCACCAACACTGTCAGGAGGCACCTGGATGAACACAATCCCTTTTGCTTGGTCATTTATTGCATATACAGATGCTGCACACCATGCTTGCTTACCTTTGAGGCAGGAATTAATTGTCTTAATTTCTCCCTATTTTGACCCTTTTTTAAAATTTGAGTAAAATTGTTTGGAACTGCAAGGCAGACTTACCCATTTGTTTTCTTGTGGATCGTAAGTGGAAGCCAGGTGCCTCCTGACGACAACTTTACAAGATAGAAAGGTTTTTGTGTTTGGGATTTTTTTCCTTTTGTCACCAGTGACTCCATAATTGTAGCAAACGCTGCACTAGAGTACAAACTCAAGAGCTTGGTCACAGACACTCTGTGAGCCACACAGCTTACATCTGACTGGCAGGTACTAAATGTAAACAATTTTGGGGTGCTTTTTTGGGGTGGGGGGTGGGAGTTTGTGGGTGGTAACTTTGACCAAAAGTAAAATCTTGCTCTTGTACTGCAGCCAGCTTACGATTTTCCAGAGAGACAGAAGAGGGATCATTTTAGTGCAACCAAGACAATGAAAAATGTAAATAAGTTTTGTATCTTGCCAGGGCACACACATGTAACAAGAACAGGATAGCAATGTTGAGTCAGACGTGTGTGCTCTGTGTGCATTTGTGGTAGGTTAGCCTGGTGCCATGCGTTGATGGTCCCTCTTGAAGCACAGAACTTTTGAAAGTATTACTTTAAACTTGGCCTCTAACTGAGGATTGGCACTTACCTGAACTATCAGGGGCACCATTTTTAGGTGGCTTCTTGTAAAGAAGGAAGCAACTTATTTTTGGTGCTAGTAGGCTATCTCTAACAGATGTGATCTTGCAAATGGAAAGATGCTCCAAATGACTAGGATAATCCTAGTGTTTTGTTTTTTTTTAGTGTGTTGGGGTTTTTTTTGTTGTTTTTAATTTTATTTTATTTTTATTTTGTTCTTGGTTTTTGTTGGTTTTTCTCCCTACACCAGCAGTGAGGAGTGTGCATAAATCTTGGTTTTCTGAGATTCCTTGCAAGCTCCTGTTTTTGCTGGTCATGTGACAGCCTTTACATTTATCCATTAGTTGGAACCTTCAGTGATGAGCTTTAGGTCAAATACTTCCTCTAACAAAGATTACATGAATGAGAATCTTACATATTTTGCATTTTTTCCCTTGTTAAGCCTAAAAGCGTCAAGTCTGAATCTCATGAAATGGAGCTTTGCGGTTGGGTGAAGTGACCGTGAAGAGGGAGGGTGATGTGAATCTTCAGCCAGCTTTGCTCAAGAGAAGCTGCAGGCTGGTCTCCGGGTGCGCGCTGTCATGAGCGCACTGCAGTTGCTGAGGGCGTTTCCCAAAGGGAGAGGGGGTGGGTTGGTCTCTAATATGTTTCAATTTCCAGAATGAGATGGGAGCATCTTTCCTTTGCCCTTTGTGACTTTTTTTGTGGGTAAGAACTGGGAAGCTCAACATGAATTCATGTTGTGTACATGTTGGTATCAAATCATCTCATTCTGATATTTTGTTCTTTATTTTTATTTGGGGTGGGGGAGGGTGTCTGCTCCAAGGATTTAAAAATGCTTCACACGCTTGTTTTTCTCAAAGGACCGATAGGACACAAACCTGAGCAGGCGGCTGTCCTGCCCTGGTTTCTGTTCTAGAGGTTACAGGGGTGCCATGCCATCTCTTCTGAGCTGCCTTTGCAGTGGTTCTTGTCCTGATGCTGAACCTTGTCATGCTGCTGGGGCTGAGCAGCTCTAGCTTTCTGAGGATGGAATTAATTTTGTTCCTGGGACGGCCACCGTGGACAAGGTTGGGTCGCCGTTGTCTGCATGGGGAGTTTTAAGGTTGCTGTGAGCTTCTGGTCCATCTTTTGTGAATCACAGTTTCTCTTCATAATAAACTGGTTCTCTAGACCAGAGAGCATGCATCTGATCTGCAAAAGAAGGCTTTGGCAGATTCTGTATATTTTCCTTGGTTTACCGTTCTGTTGCTAAAACATCCCTACGTGTGGAAGCACTGTTAAATCCTACTGTAGACAAGTTAGGAAAGGGAAAGGGAAGGGGGGGG